GCCTTGAGGCATGGAACATATGTACCAAATATGCCAAAGATGTCTACAAAATTATCTCAGTTATTATTAAAAAACTGATTATTTTTGAAAACTTTGCCACCCTGTATCTCAAAAGTTAAGGCGTTTAGGACATACGTCCATAGGAAGTTTTTTTTCTTAAAATGGGTCTAAGAATTACCTCCTTAAATATTAGCATGTGTTTAAGGAACACCCTGTATACAGACGGATCAAAAACCAAAGAAGGCTTAGGATGTGGAGTGCACTCCAGATCACTAAGCCTAAGGATTAAGTGGGGAATGGGAAAAATACCAGCGTGGTTCAAACATAACTGGCTGGTGTCTCAATAGCCACGAAAGAAATAACCAGGAAAGAAATTTCTGGCAAAAACATAACAATCTGCACTGACAGCAGATAAGCCCTATTAGTCTTGAACAGACAACGTGTTACCTCAGGGTAGTACTAGAATACCTACGATCAAGATTCAGCCAAAGCTTCGAAGACAACAACATTATCCTGAGGTGGATTAAAGGGCCAAGGAAACGGCTGGGCTAGGAATTTTAGGACCCAGTGGCACCTATGGCCTGATGACTTCGACAATTGCGGAACTAGCCAAACTTCACACCCAAGCTCCATCCCTAAAGAGATGGGATGAAATCGAAGGATGCAATCTTGCCAGGATCACCCTGGGCGAACCTGGGAAGCTGGCGCCGAAGAAATATCTGGCGATGACAGTAGGATGGTTCATTATCAATTTGTTGTTTTTATTTATTGTTTTCCAAATCATTGGGATGTTTAGTGAGTCACCCTTTTTGTTGATGAGGCCAAAGACGGAGCTGGCAGAATCTTATGTGAGAAACTCAGAGCACTTGGTGGATATCATTAAAAACATCAAACTAAACGACACCGACATCCTTGCCAGCCTAGACATAAAATCCCTCTACCCGAGTATACCCATAAACGAAGCCCTAGCCACCATTAGAACTGATCATAGCTTTCCGCAACATGTCACGGATCTAGCAGAGCACTGCCTTAAAAACACCTATTTCATATTTGACAACCAGATCTATAAACAGGTAGAGGGAGCTCCGATGGGTTCCTCCCTATCGCCCGTGATCGCAAACCTGTTCATGATGCACTTCGAGAAAGAAGCACTTAACAACGCCCGCCTCAAACCAACCCTGTGGAAAAGATATGTAGACGACATATTCATCATCTGGCCCCACGGAAAACAAGAACTAGACCGGTTTGTGACCTACCTGAACAACATCCATCCCCGCATCCAGTTCACTACCGAAAGAGAGGAGAACAGGCAGCTACCTTTCCTAGACCTACTTATAACAC